GCTGCAAGAATCGATCCATCCAGCCAGCTCGCTCTTCCATCCTCTCTCATCACCTGCCACTTATCTGCCCATCCGCCGGCTGGCAGAGCTGCTCTTAGACCTGCCTTTTCCTGGTGCTCTGGGTCTTGACTTTTCCCCCCATTCATTTGTTTCTTGTGAGCCTGGAGGAATTCCACTTCCCTTTAGATTGGCCCGGAAGCCGCCCACTGTCTCTCAGGGGTAACAAATGCCTCCCCCTCCAGCTCCTGAACAAGCAAGGTTTTGCTGTGCTAAGACAAGGAGGATCTTGGCTTCAGGCAGTGGCGCCCACAGGAGGAATTACAGTTCTGTCTCTTCTGCTCCTGCCTCAGTACAGGGGGCTCCCGCTGGACTGTGGAGCAAGCAAATCCCCTCTTTTCCTTCCTCCTGTCCAGGCAAGAACGGGCTGATGAAGGCTCATGCGTGGCTTCCAGCATCTCTAAGCTCTTCTCAGTGGCCCCTCCAGTGGCTCTGACATCAAAACCCTTCCTTTCCAGGGCTGCCCCTTATCTGTCACCCTCCAGACTAGCGGCAGGACAGGCCTCTGGGCTTCATGTCTCCCTGAGCTACAGGGCTCATAGAGATGGATCCAGCCCAGAGATGACTTCCTCTTTCACTCTCATGTGCCACATGGGGTCCACAGGCATAATTCATCAGGGTCACCTTGCCAATCAGACCTCTGCAGGTGACCCAGCCTGCTACCCCCCACAAGCACCGTGGCATCTCACAAACCAGTGTAAGTCACAGCGGCTGCCTCTGCACCAGCTCTTGCAGCTCTCTTTCCATTCTCCACACTGCAGACAGATCCTCTCAGAGCACGAACCACGGCCCCCACCCCTATGCTTGGACCCTGACGTAAGCCCTTCTGCTCACCACCCCACCTACATTTCTGACTCTCCCTCCCTCTCATCCACGAGGCTCTGGCCATTGGAACCCTCTCCCTACCCTTCCAGGGTACGCCACGTAGAGAGCGGTATTCTCCTGCTCCCCCCGACAGAGCCTCTGTGACTTCCTCTTTCCCATCCTTCAGGTCCCAGCATGAAGGTCACCTCCCCAGAGTGGTCTCTCCTGCCCTCTGTGTTACCGAATCTCCTCCCTGGTGCCGATGACCTGAAAGCATCTTAACTGCCTGGATGTGGTTCCCAGCCTGTGGGCTCCATTCCACATACCCAGCCTGTCATGGAATTTCCGGGGCCATCAGAATAGCTCAAGCACACCTCTAGTATCTGGTGTCTAGAAGACTTCACCCTCCGGGACGGTAACCTCGAGGTCCATAGCACCACATTAACTTCTCCCCCGGGTTGCTCTAGTGTCTACTGATCCTGAGAAGCAGACTCCCCAGGCTACAGTTTCTGGCCTCGCAACCCTTTCCCTGGGGATCTGTGACTTCTGCCTCCCAGCTCATCTTTGGTGAGAACCTGCTCTGTGAATTCTGGCGTGGGCCTTGCAAGGGCCACATGTCAGCCTTAGTGGGCAGCTGGAACTGTTGTTCCAGGCAATATGGGAGCTTGGCTGTAACTGCATAAGAAGCCTGTGTTAGTGCCTTTCCCATTACTATAATGACATGCCCACAGCTGGGTACATTGAAGAGAAAAGAGGCTTATTTATTTCACTTTTGGAGGCTGAAAGTCTTAAGATGGGGTGGCCCCCTTGGTTCAGCAAAAGATGAGAAGCTCATGGCAAACAGCATCACGACAGACAAGACCTCAGGGGAACACAGACAGGCTCTCCAGTCAGCCCTGCTCTCACCCTGCACTTTCCTGGGAACTGGCTCACTCCTGGGAACTGGCTCACTCCGTGAGACAGACAGGTACTCATCATTTCCAGGGTGCTACCCTGAAAGCTGAACCACTTCTCTCAAGATCCTGTGTCCCAAAGGTTCCACTACCATTCAGCGCCACTATAGCAGATACTAAGTCTCTAATACCACAGTGCTTTGGGCCAAGCCACATCCAAACCATAGAAGGCTCGAACCCAAGGAAAGGACTGAACCCAAACTCCTCAGGCTCTTTCTGCTTCAGATACTCGAGCTGCTTGGTGAGTGCTTGGTTAGAATCTTTCTCCAAACCCCTGGGTATTCTTCTTCCTTGTCTTGGAGCTCTGCGCTGTGTTTGCTTAAGTGTCACATTTTATCTGTTTGTTGTGCGTGTGTACAGGGTCTCTGTCTGCTCAGTTGCACCCTGACCAGCACGTCCCTCCTGGCCAATCTCCACATCACTGTCTCCAGAGCCCTGAACACAACCTGCACCTTGGGGTCCTTGCTTGGGCAGCTGCCTTCATGGATCCTGCTGACACCTGTGCTCCATGCCTGTTCTTTAGAGCTGCTCTGAGGCCCCGTGTACTGCTAGGCACCCTGGTCCATGTCATAAATACTTGCTCAATAAAGGAATGCAAGCAGCTTTCAAGATTTTGTCACCAACAACCCATCCCTGTCCCCAGCAGCCTCTGCATCCTGTCCACCTCTCAGCCTGTTGCAGCCAGCCGAAGGCAGACAGTGGCCAGGGAGATGGGGTGGGCACTCGACTGTCCTTACAGCCAACATTGCCGCCCACAGGGCTTTTCCTGGCGCTGGGGCTGAACCCAGAGCCTCAGGCATGGTGGGGAAGCACTCGCTGCTCAGCTGTCTGGATCCCACCACCAGGTTTTAAAATTCACTCTCATGACAGTCTTCTGCACTCAGTAGGAGGTCATAGAACACGAGTAGCCTCAGTCAATATTTAATTTTTATGAGAACTTATTATGGGTCTAACATGTGCTAAGCACCTTAAATAATAACATACCTATAAGGTATAAAATTGTGTTCATCACAACCAGTAGCACAGGTGGCATCAGGTGACAGGCACGAGGGCTTTTCATCTATTCAAGCTTCTCCCACCCCAGCCTTTGGCCCCTGTGACTCTGAGCTGCTGAATCTGAGCCCAAATTGCTTCCTGAACTTGTGAAAGGCCACAGAGCTATGAGGCAGCAGAGTCCCGGGCTCTGCACCGCACACCCAGGCTTCGGTCTTCAGAACCACCTGGTACCCTAGGAACTGTTAGGGTCCACTTCTTACGAAGGTCAGAAATGGGGCCTCAGAGAGGTGTAGAGGAGGGTGCTCAAGATGGTACCGCTGGACCACAGCACGGCGAGGTGATCTTGGGTGTGGTGCCCCGGACATCGTCCACACACAGGCAGGGGCGCCCCATCTCTAGCTAAGGTCCCCTCCCTGGCTCTTCAGAAGTGACCACTCCTTATATTAAATCTGTGCATTTCAAAGACATTTTATGAGGTTGGAATGTGCTTAAGTAAATGGACATCTTGCCTTGACTGTCGTTAAACCTCAATATAGTTCTCAAATTTAAGTAAGAAGTAGAAGGAAACAAAAGCCCCCACCTGCCCCTGCCCTGCAGACCTGGAGCTCGCTGGGAAGCTCCTTCCCTGCTCGCAGGCCACCCAGAGTCCTCTTCTTAGGGACAGGGGAGCAGGCCTGGGGCAAGTGCACTCCTACCCCAACACTCAGGGGACAGCGCAGTGCAGCGCCTGGCAGGAGGTGACCCCTGGGCTGGGACAGAAGCTAAGGGAAGGCAGGAGAGGCTGCCAGAAGCAAGAGGGGCTGACATGGGGCCCAGGTCCTGTCCTAGCAGCATCCTCTGTACTCGGGCTGATGAGCCGGGAGGACGAGCCACTCACCGCGTGTGGCAGGGGGCGGAGCTGTGAGCAAGGGCTCGGTGATTCGGTGCCCTAAGTGCTGGTGCAAGCAAGGCGGGACACACTCAGCGAGGAATGGCAGGATAGGGACCCTTAGAAGACAAAAGGAGGATGCAGCACAGCCTCCTCATCTTGTTCTGCCTCTCAGGCCGGACTGCAGGCAGGAGGCGCCTGGACCCCATCCCAGACCCAGGTCCATGCTGGAGGAGCACCGCCCTCCAGCTGTGGCCAAAAGCCATCTCCAGGTCAGCAGCCCTGCTTCCCAGCCATCACTGGCTCTCAGCTGGCCCGGTGTCCCCAGGACACCCCAAGCAAGAAGCACCCAGCCCTGGCTCCCCGCCTCTCTCGGCAGGCGGATCTACTGCTGCACTGAGAAGGGGAGGCAGGCACCTCCGCTCCCAGGCCCCTGAAAGGAGGCTGTGTTCACAGATGCTCAGGGCTGGTAACATTCACAGCAAGGACACGACGCCCTGCATGTGCCAGGCACGCGGCCTCCCCCAGTGACTAAGTAAGAGCAGCGCAGTGGGGTGTGTACCCCTCACTGTGGATATGGTCCTGTGGGTGGGGGGAGGGCATCACCCGGAAGGGGTTGGGAGGAAAAGAACTACTTACAAAACAGAAAAGATACTCATCCCCTCCTCCCAGCATCTCCAGCGTCAGGAGAGTGGTTTTCAGTCTTGACTGGACAGTAGTCCCATGGTGAAATTTTAAGAATCCAGCTGCCCAGGTCTCATCCTTAGCAGGAGCCGACAAACCCTTGTGGCTTGTGCTACCCCTGTTATATCTTCTCAGCTCCACTACCACGGTGCAAAAGCACACACAGGCCGTGCACGTGTCAGCACACGAACACAGCTACCCTCCAATAAAACTTTATTTATACACACGGAGGGCAGGGCAGATTTAGTCCCTGGGCTGATGTGTGGCTGCCCCTTGGCCAGAGGAGACAGGGAGCTTTTTTTAAAGCACATCTTCAGCATCTCTATATCCACCAACATTTCCTAACCTCCAACCCTCTGGAGACCTTGCAAACCGTTCATAGGGTTTCCTGTGGAAGTACCCACTATGGGTGGGCAGAGCAAGGGCGTATATGAAGCCAGGCGGACCGCGTGGACCACTGCAGTTGGTGGGGGGCGCGTGGGGCTCCTTCCGCTGTTCTGTCTACTTTGGTGTATGCCTCAACCACACAAATGGTTAAAACTGACAGTAAAAAGAGACAGAGAGCTCCCTGCAGGCAACGGCACAGGGGAAGCCAGCTGGGGCACCGGAGGGCACCAGGGCGCGCAGTGGATACTCACGACCAGTAGAGCAGCATGAGGAGGAAGGGGCAGATGATGAGGGCCTGCAGCACCTGCCAGTCCCGGCACAGGGCGGCCAGCCCGGGCATGAGGAACTGGCCCGCCATGGCCACGAAGCTTGCCACCATCGTGATCATGAACCGTTTCCCGGGCGGACACAGCTCTATTCCTGGAAGACAGAAGCGAGAGGCAGACATGAGTGCCCTGCCCGATGGCCCTGTGGGGGCAAGGCAAAACCAAGATCGTGGCTTAAGGTCATAGAGCAGGCTCAGAGGGGCCAAGTTTGGAAACACTGCGGCTGTGGGCACAGGCTTTGCCTGACCTGGTACCTCCTTCCTCTGTCCTTTTTTTTTTGGTCTTTCTTGAGACAGGGTTTCACTATGCAGTTCAGGCTGGCCTTGAGCTTACTTTGTAGCCCAGGCTGGTCTCCAACTCACAACAATCCTCCTGCCTCAGCCTTCTGAGTGCTGGGATTATAGACGTGAGCCACCACACCCGGCTCCTCTGTGCTTTGGATGCTGCTGAGCTCACTGTCCATTCCTTGCTGGCCAGGACACAGCACTGGGGACGCTCTTGCTCTCCCTCCCCACTACACTGTACCGCCCCCCTGAGCCAGACCCCAGGCTCTTTGTGAGTTGCGGGCAGCAGGCTCTACCACGGGACCAAGTCAGGCTGAAGAAGTGGATCAGAGGGCTTCTATGCAAACACAACGAAAACAAACAAACATGCTCAGGTCACGCAGTGGTGACCTAACTAGGACATTCCTTGGCCACACAGGAATCTGCTGCCCACTACTGGGCATCTCTCCCAGGCGGAGGCCGTGCCTGATTCATCTTGGGGAAACAGGGTCCAGCCTCCACAAACACACTGTGCAAGAATCCATTCTCTTACTTTAGACTTGAATAAATAGTTGGTCCCCAAATTTTCATCCAAATGACAACAAACACAGACCTGCTGTACAAATCCCTATACTAATGCTGCTTAAGTGTAGAAAACCCAGCTGGGTTTTACTTGTATCATTTCCCTGTAGAGTATGAACATTTCTTTGCCACGCTGCTACAATGTGCTGTATTCCCCAACTCTTTTTTTAAAGCGTGGTTAAAAGAAAACAGAAAGAAAGCTTTGTGTCCAGTGAGTGCCTCAAGGCTGAGCTTCGCAGCTGGCTGTGTCCAGAGACCCCGGGGGAGGACGGAGGCCAAAGGCCGTGGCGAGCAGGTGGATGACAGGGAGAACAGACAGATTACACTGAAGGATCTTATCAGTCCTGATGAGCACAGGCGCCACGCCCCCTGTCTTCAGGAAAAGATAACACGGTCATGGAAACTCCGCTTGGCCACAAACAGTCACCATCAGAGCTGCTGGTGAGTAGGAAATCAACCTGGTCTCACTGAAAGTAGCTTATAAAAAGGCTTTTTTTTTTTTTTTTTTTGCAACTTAATTAGGAAAATAGGATTAAACAGTCGCCTTCCGGCTATTTGCTGGCAGGCCATTCTTTTCAAGGCCAACAGCCAAGCTCACGGGAGAGATCATTGCTGCCCCCCAAATAATAAAGAAAAAGTCTTTTCAGAAAAGACTAACAGCTCTGGGTTCTAGTTGTCACTTATTAAATGAGTAAGCAGTGGATCTGCCGCCATGGAAACCCGAAATCTGCATTAGCTACAGTAGGTTGAGTGTTTGGAGGCTTGGGGCAGGCAGGTGTCAGAGGAGGAAATGGTGCACCTAACCACCTGTGTCAGCAGCAGCATGTCAGGAAGCGTGACGGCTTCCTGCCACCAAGTTTGCTAGTAGAACAGGTATCACATGTTACTTTCTTTTCATTATTTCCTTTATCTTAGTGATATAGTATGTGTGAGAATATTTAAAACTTCAGCAGACCTCCCCTATTTGTGGTTTTGTCTCCCACCATTTCAGTTATCTGAAGTCAATCAGGATATAAATGAAGTGAATAGAAAGCTCCAGAGTAAACAATCCATAAGCTTTATGCTGCTTATGGCAGTCAGGGCAGTGTGATGAGCCCTTGTGCTCTCTTGCTCTCTGAGGAGTGAATTTGTCCCACGTATCCGTGCTGTATATGCTACCCACCCGTTAGTCACTTAGTAGCCATCTTTGATACCAGGGTGACATTTGTGGTTCCCTGTGCTTGTGTTCAAGTAACCCTTGTTTTACTTGATGATGTTACAACTCAAGAGCAGTGATGCTGGTGATTCAGATATGCCAAAAGGCAGTAAAGTCCTTCCTTTAAATGAGAAGGGGAAAATTCTCAATAATAAAAGAAACAATACTAGATGCTAAGGTTATTAAGATAGATGGCAAGAATACATGTGAGGTTCCTGGCATCCACTGGGGACCCCGGAATGTGTTACCCCACGTATATGGGGCTGGGGCTGGTGTACCATTCTATTCACACAGGCCTCCCCTTGGGATGCCCAACTCCGCACACTGATCTACAGTTACATGATGTCACACAAAGGATCATGAAACAACTCTGCAGACCAGGCCTGAGGTTTGCAGATGACCAGGAAAAGTCGTCCCTTGAAGGGGGCTTCAGTCTCTCCTGGCTGCAAACCAGAGACAGTGGCTGGGACCCATGTCCATGTGACTGCTGTCAGGGATTCCACAGGAGGTGCACCCCAGGCCTCGTGTGTTGGGGTGGGTTCCCAATCAGCAGTGTTCAGAGCTGATGCTCTTTGGAAAGATGAATGGGTCGCCAGAGCTCTAACACCACCGCAGATTAATCCCTGATGAGACTTAAGGGACACTTAGAGCTGAGCCCTGGAGAAGGGGGAGTCCTTGGGGACAATATCTCGTCCCAGGTCCTTCCTCTTGCTCTTTCCCTGTCTTCCTGCCTCCCGACAACGGTGAGGCGAGCAGTTTTGCTCCACCACATTCTTCTGGCAAGATGCTCTGCCTGTGCAGGCCTGTGGCCATGGGACCAGCTGACCATGGACGGAAGCCTCTGGAACAGAACAAAGAATTATCTCCGCATTCTGTCACAGGGGCAGAGAGTGGGCTAACACCACATCAATATGACAATTACTCAGCTGCCACCATCTTTCTCCCCTACCTCTCCTGCCAGGGGTCTGAGAGGTCCCCTAATTTCTCACCACCTCAAGTGGGGTCCACAGCCTGTAGTATCAGCTATGGAAAGGCACAGGGCTGGAGTCCACTCAGTCCCACAGAACCAGCACCTGCCTTTGCAGCCACCCCTGGGCAGCTCACATTTTCCTGGCATGGGAAGCAAGGTTCCCTCCCAGACCTAGCTGAGGGGCAGATGACGAGACCACCCTCTCCCCTCTCCCTGCCTGCACTACTGGGACTCCCAAGAGATGTGGTGTCATCAGGTAGAGAAATGCCTGGTGGCCAGCAGGTATTTATTTTAGCATTCCTGTTCTGGGACAATGGAAAAACACAGTGACTTAAGAAGGGACACAAGTGTGACCATTTGCAGAATTTTTTTTTTTTTTTTTGCCTGAGTCACCAGAAATTCTTTCCAAATTGACAGAAACCAACTATGTTCTGCAAGTGGCTGTAATTTTTGTTTTTAAGAAAGCAATTATGTGGAACTGCAGGCACTTGAGGCTTGCCATTAATCACATGCTCCCTTTGGAGGGTGAGAAACTGGATTTCTGAAGGGGGAGAGAAAGAACGCACCAGTGTGCGAAAGCCTTCGGCCCTGGCACCCATCAGGAGGGGAGGAGCAGTGCAGGGAGGCATGGGTGCTGCCCCCAGCCCTGGGCCCTGCCCCTGCTCCTGGCACCATGCAGAACACTGTCATAGTGGCTCACCCACCTTGGGCGTGGCTCTGGCTGGGGCCCCTGGCTTTGGTCTAGAAAGAAGGGGACCCCTCGTGCATCTGGTGATGTACAGCAGCTGCCGCAGGCAGGTGTCCACGGTGCCCTGGAGGGTTCTGGCTGTGTGCTGTGGCTCGGCACGTCCCACACACAGCTTCTCTGTCAATGGAACCAACCTGAGCTGTCTTAGTAGACTTTCTCTGATAGGCAGCAAGACTCTGACCCTTGATTATGTGAAATGATAAACATCACGAAAAACTGTCCTTGTAGGACACACAACAATCAAATTTAGGGGTCCAGCACACAGTACCTGCACCACTGTGGTCAACAGCCCGGACCCTGGAACCAGTGGTCTTGTGTTTGAATCTCACCCCTGGTACTTGGGACCTTGGCTCTATCATCTAGAGGCTCTGGACCTCAGTTTTCTTAACTGCAAAATGGGATGTGTGAACATTAAACAGCACAGTGCCTGCCCACAGGAAGTCGATATGACAGCTTTCAAAAGACCTTGAAAACTTAGGGGGCCTCCTGGAGGACTAGGGTCTGTTACAGAGGAGAAGAAAAGTAATCTGCAATCTGTCATATGCTTCTTCTGCACGTATTTTATTTCATGGAACTTCCTGTACACCCAGGAGCAATCCACTACTGAAATACACAGCAAGGGGCGGGGGTATGGCTCAGGGCCAGAGCCCCTGCCTGGAATATGTGAGGCCCTGGCTTTGAGTCCCAGCACTGCGAAAAAACAAAACAATTCCTCCCAAAACCAAAAAACCAGAATTGGGTGAATCTAAGAAAATCACATCAAAAATCCCCACGGTTAAACTGCCTTTTCCCCAAGAGCCCTGAAGGACGGGGCTCACACGTGATTCTGAGAAGCCGGGGACTTTGGGAACAAGCGGAGAAGCAGCCCAAGGTTCTGAGGACCCCGTCCAGCTCAGCCACAGCGTTTGGTCATTAACACGAGGGCCATGACCGCGGCAGCCTGAGTGCAGGCTGTGAGGTGGGCGGGGGACCCGGAGGACATTCGACCTCATCAGGAAGCTGCAGCTCTGCGAAGATTGGGATTTTGGAAACTTTCAGATTCTTGCAAATTTCCTGGAGGAAAGCGAAGTCGCACTGCCCAGTGCAGTCCCTTATGGTGATGGAGGAGGAAGCCCAAGCGGAAGGCATCCAGGCCGCTCGCACCAGTGGGGTCCTCAGCTGCCCCTTGGGGGGACGGCCAGGAGGTCAGCTTGAGGTGTCCAGATGACCAGGCTTCTGTCTCCGGCATCCAATCGGACACTATCTGAAGGGCTGGGGTGCAGCTCCACGGGAGGGCTTGCCTAGCACACGAAACCCCAAGGATGCAGAAGCGTCTTTTGGGGAAAGTCGGTTTAAC